ATTATTTCGAAGATATCAGGCCCTTTGATTAGATTGTTGCATATTGTTGACTCTGATGAAAAACCATCTCTTAGATATCTATATGATGGCATGTACAGCGCAAGGAAGGAAATTAAAACTATGTTCAGAAATGTAAAGAGATCATATAAGCCTTTTACTACAATAATAAAAAGAAGATGGGATACTCAATTAAGGCAAGGCATCCATTCAGCAGCAAATTATCGCAATCCTCATTTTCAGTATGATAGAGAGAATTATTGTCAAAAGTTAGAAATTTTACAAAGTCTAGTTGAAATAGTTGGAAATAAAGACATTTGCACTAAGCCCACAATTGCAATGAATGAAGTCAGACTATTTCGTGATGGCTTAGAAAGCTTTGGAAAACCAATTGCACTGACAATGACGAAAGAAATGCAACCTGGTAATTGTAATTCTCTTTCTTTTTTTTACTTAAATATGTGTATATAGTTATAAAAATATGCTTATTCACTAAATCTTCAAACTTGAAAATATGTATATGAGTGGTGGAAGATGTTTGGATAAAGTGCTCCAAACTTACAGAAAGTTGTTATAAGAATTCTCAGCCAAACAACATCTTCCTCAGGATGTGAGAGAAATTGGAGTGTTTTTGAACAGATCCACTCAAAGAGACGGAATTATTTGGAGCATCAACGACTCAATGATCTTGTATATGTTCGGTATAATCTGAATTTAAAGAATAGGTAAGATCTTGCATTAAATTAATATTTATGTACAAGTGTCAAGTTGTATGTATAATCTTAACATAAAATTATTTATTAATTTTTTTAGGTTTCAACTTAAAAAAAGACATTATGACCCTCTGGACTACACCTGTGTTGAAATGATTGATTTTTTGATACTTGAAGATGAAACAACTCCAGAACTTGACTTACAGGATTTGGAAAATGAGATATTCAAAGAGGATGCAATACCAGTTGTTGGTGAAGGTGATTTAGAGAAAGAAGGAGATGTAGGTGACATAACCGGGCTCGATCAATTGGATGCATTTGAGTTTGAACATTTTGGTGAAGCGAGACCTGGAGACTCAACTTATATAGATAGATTTGATGATGCTAATTTAGGAGATCTTTAAAACTATTGAACCGAGAAAGTGAAACTTTGATTTTAATTATGAATATGTTTTGTTTTTGTTATCAATTGGTATAAAGTAATTTGGAATCTTGTTATGATTGGTTGTGTCTTCAAAATATTGTTATATTTTTTTATTTACTTTATCTAATATTTTCTTATATACTTTATCTAATATGCCCATATGAATGAATAATCTACTTTGCTAATAATTTTTTTCATGATGTTTGAAATTGGGATTCAGTGAGGAATGAGAGGCTGAACATGCAGAGTATAAATGAAGAGACTTTACCTGATCTTGAGAATTATGAGTGTGGTGGTGATCAGATGGATTGTTTGCAGAATCTTGTTTCCTTGCAGCTTACAAAGGATCACAGCACCAGTGTGGAAGAGGTAGAAGAAGATTTTGATTTGTCTGATTCTTTCTTTTGAGATTTGATTTCAGTAATATATTCAGAAATAATGTTTATATTTTCTATCATTCAGGAAGTTAAGAGAATAAGAAGTGACTAGTGAGCATGCTGAGGACTCTTTAGCCATTGCAAATGATAGAGTCAAGGGATCATTGAATGTGAGAAGAGCTTTTGGAGCTGGGTTTTTGAAGCAGGTATATGCATGTCTTGTTATTGAAATTCTTTTAGTTAATTCAAGTTTTTTTGCTGTTACATGCTTAATTATTACCAAATGCTATTATATTTGATTCATATATGGAACTTATTTGATCTTAAAGATCTGTTATGTTTTTGGAGCGAAAATAGATGTGATTCTGCTTTTAGAAACTATTGGGTTTAGTATTATCTATGGTAATATAGTTTATATCCTTTAGATTTAAATGTTAGAATTTATTTGACTAACATTTCACTATTATATAAGTAAAAGTATTATAATTTTTTTTCAATTTTTGTTATATATTTATAAATAGTTGTGTTATTATTTAATATTTAAATATAATAAATATTTATTACATCATCCGGTTCGACCCCGGTCGAACCATCAAACCTTTAACCCCTCCTTCCGGTTCATTGACCGGTCCGATTTTAAAAGCCTTGGTCATATCACTATAACTTGAGAAGTGATGCTATACCATAAAGTTATTATCATAGATATAAGTGGGAATTCGATATGTTTTAGATGATATTTCAATATAAGTATTTTTATACTCTTAATTCAATTAATATCAAAACTTCGTTCTAATTTTTGTAATCTACATTTCAAATCTTCACAATGATATAAAAACATATAGGCTAAATAATAAATTAAATGATGATATATTTTATAACATTTCATAGCACACTAAAGTAATGTACCAAACATATACAAACTAATAAATACATACTAGAATATCTTTTTATAAATAAGCATAACTATATTATCTCTAGAACTTAACTAGCATTCCATCTAGTAAAATAGAATTGTGTAAGAAAACAATTTTTTTTGATAATTTTTTATAGATTTCAAAACAGAAGTAGTAAAATAGCAAAATACATAAAAAACTTATTTTTAACAAGACTCATATCAATTCCTACCTACCTCTTTTTGAGATGGCAAAACCTCCAACTGAAGAAAGTAAAAAATTCAACCTCATAATGATATTTAAGATTAACATAATCTACCCATGCACCAATCTTCTCTTGCTACTTATATCTTATTATCTTCCAAAAACTAATGTCTTTGCAACCAAGGGCGGAACCCAATATGTTCCGGGGGGGGGGGGGGGGGAAGCT